TTCCGATAGCTAAAATCTCTGCTCTTCTCTCTGCACTTAGTTAGACATTGTGTTTACCCCCTCTTTCAAACTTCTAAATATTTTATATTTATATTGATAAAGCATTTTACAAATTGGGGTGGATCAGCCTGTCTCCACAGTCCTTCCTTTGCCATTCAGTCATCATTTGCATTTTGGAAACAAAAAAAGTCCCTTTCCAGATATGCAGGAGGTGGGGAAGAGACCCGCTCGGCTTCCACCTTGGCACAAATTCTGCTTACGATGTTTGCGGGAATTTTTTTTCCATCAGCCTATGCATCCCGGGCCTTTCCAATTCCTTATCTTCTCTTGTTTTGCAAAGAAATTAGGTGGGGCTATTTGTGTGCTTCTGGGTTGCTGGTCCCCCCCCCCCCGCTGTGACTTGACTCTGGAGCAAAGTGTAGGCAGCGGGTGCCAAGGGTTTCTCCCTTTCTTGGAACCGTCTTTCAACTGGTATGGTTTCTGTGAACTCGGGTGTCAGATGGCCCCTCTTCGGGTGGCTTTCTGAGGGCCATTTCTCCTGTCTTTGCCTTCTTGGAGACGGCTGTGGCCTTCCTAGATAGAGAGGTGCCAGCCTCTGCCAGGACAAATTTGAAGAATGTCTACTATTTGCCTTTTGGTACTTACAAGTGTTTGTCTGTTCCTCACCTCTCTGCACAAGGGGGTCAACCGTGTGCAAAAATATTCCGGGTATGGGGAGGGGAGGGGAGTTGCAATCTGCAAACGTTCTTCTTTCTGCAGCTGGCGCATTGTCCGTGGAAAATGCAGCATCCACACACAGAAAGTGAGAACTGCAATAAGGATATTGAGGAAGGGGCTTCAAACCAAGCAGCGGCTTTCCTCCTGAACACAGGAAACCAAGTCTCTGTGGGGTATTTTATACACTCAGCTGATCAGTGCATTACTTTAAAAAATCCCTTTGCTAATAACTCTATTTACTTATTTTCACCTCACCCACAGATTGAATTGGATGTATTTTTTTATAGAGCCAGAATGCACTGCCAGGGACTTATTTGGACCCCCTCTTAGCCAGTGGGGAAAAAGCTGCCTTCTGAACAGCGCATTTCCCATTGGTAGATGTGCAATTTTGCCTCTTCACTTAGGCTCCACCGTGGGGATTGGGCCAGCATATCTAAAAGGGCGTGTTGGCCGTGGACGATGGGAGTTGTAGTCCAACTCATCTGGAAGGTGTGCCAGATTGGGAAAAGCTGTGCTGGGTAACCTCCAAATGATTTCCCAAATCATTTTTGGAGGCCTGGCTCCCTGCTGCACACTTAATTTGGTGATCGCATTTTAATTCCTCCCCTAGTTGATATAATCCCCCCCGTCTCATTTCTTTGTCCTTAAAAATCATTTAATGTTGACTTCATTACGTGCAACGTCGCCCTCCCCTCTTCATGTGGTTTGATTTTGTATTACTTCTTTGTATGTGTCCCTACCTCTTCTTGCTGGTTGTATTGTGTTTGGTTTCACGACGTTGGCTGCGATCATTGTATTTTATGTTTTTAATTTACCTGGGCGCAGAGAATTTTTGGTGTCTGTGGGAGAAAAACAGTATAGAAGATAATTGCCTGCTGAAACTTCACATGTACGAAGATGTGGATTCTAATCTAAAAGGAGATACGCTGTAATAAAGAGCGAGCTTTTATGATGCTGCTAGACTTTTGGGGTTGCAACGCTGCTGCTGATCGCATGTCATCAAGTAGCTGTCAACTCTTAGCGACCGCATAAAACATCTGAGCGAGGGGTTGGACTAGATCAGTAGTTCTCAAATACTTTGGTCTCGGGACTCCTTTACATTCTTAAAAATGATTGAGGACCCCAAAGAGCCTTGGTTGATGTGGGTTCTACCTATTGATATATCCTGTACTAGAAATTAAAACTGAGAAATGTTAAAATGTTTTGTCATTCACGGCCGGAATACGATGGCTGGTGTGGGTCTTCCGGGCTGTGTGGCCGTGTTCTGG